TCCCAGTAAAACTCATTCAATGGTTCATACAGGTTCAGCATATGAGCTTCAAAAGATTCTGGCTTTTTTTCACTTTATTTCTTGAGATTTAAAGACGGCAAGCGTGGTACACTTCATTTCTATGTTTAAATCTTTCAAATTGTCGGAGTCAAAGCGCTTTGATCCACTGGAGGCCTTGCATGAGTCTGCACAATGCGTACTCTGCGTCCGAGCAGTCCGACCGAAATCCGCGTGGAATTAACGGTCTTTGCTTGACTGATAATTAAAATGAGTAACAATTAAGAGGGATGAGAAGCACAAGGGGCGAATATCCAAGACGAGACGAGGTCCAGAATAGTTGTGGTGATATACAGCACAAGAGTGTGATTTTGAACCTGACTCAGGGACTGAAATAGTTAATTTGTCAAGATTTAAGTTCATGGAAATTGCTGCGACAGATAACAGTTGGTGCCAAACTCAATAAACAGAAGGTGTGCAAAGATATAAGGCAAAATGAAGGATCAAATACGGTTAAGAATATATCAAAATACGAATAATGCTGATTACTTCAGCAGATATAGATCTGAGCGAGACCGTAAGGATACATCACTTATTAAATAATCCAAAACACCAAAATTAAACATTTCTCCGGAAAAGCTCTAGAATAATTTGCTTCGTGACAAGAATTCAAAATGCAAATTTACCATACAATGCAAAAACCCCATCTATGTTCTGAAGGAGTCAAATCTTGCTGGATTACTAGTGCGTCGAGCCCATATTAATCATGCTCATGCAGGAAAAGATCTTTGTAGGATTCCATATCCTTGCCGTGCAGTCGACGATGATCGTAAAAGATCACTTGCAAATGACTTCACGGCTTATCATCTGGAGCACCGCCTATACTATCACTTCCATCAGATATATTTCAAGACGTTGGTGCCGGATTGTGGAACCTTTGAATCAAAATTGAACGAAAGAATGTACGTTTGTTCGCACACATACCTAACAACGAGAGCATCCATCTTATAGTAGCTGAGACTTTATCAACTGGAGTACAACAGATTTTCCTGTTTACCTCAATTAGAAGTCTGGTAAGATTAGACTCAAGCGGGTCGCTCTATTTTGTAACTGTCCCACTCAACTGCATGTTATTGCTTATGATTATGTTTATACGAATATATTGAACTATTTCATACAATAGAACATACGTCATACATATAGACACACTCTACATTCTTATATAAATTTATTTATTATCCAGTTATAACATACTTATTCATTCACTATACTCACATATACTTAACATATATCCATATCATAAAGCCATACTCTGATGAGGATTTATTATTAGAAAGAAATAGAAATAAGTTTGGATGAATGAAAATGAGATCCTTAGAACTGGAAGAGATGAAATGAAACAGAAGAAGTGGGTTCATCGGTGCGTACAAACAAAATAATGCTCTCTGATGATGGAACAGGGAAAAACGAAGTAAATGGAAATGGTGACGAATATATTGAATCATTAGTCAAGTTGAGTTCTAGTCATCGCTTAATCAAATTTAAATGAGTTTCACATTTCACTGAAATGATCAAACTGTCAAGAGTGGGAAATTAGTATTGCTGAATAAAAAAAATTGAAAAAGGTTGAACAGAACCGGTTTGAGAAATCACTAAACAATGATTACCTGTACAATTGTACTCTGAAAGTAATGAAAGAATGATAGAATGTTATACAGAACTATGCCGCAAGCCATACTGACATCTTGGTTCTATACGCCGATGCCAGTGATGACGCTTTGACAGGGATAAAACATTCAGAGAAGCATATGGAAGAGTACTGGAATATGATTGCGGCGGCGAGGGCCTGTATAAATGGGCAAGGAAATACAGCGAAACTTGCTCGCCGTCCGGATTTTCCAGTAGTGGGTCGACCGCAGGATTTCACACCTATCAGAAAACTGAATAAAGTATGATTCGCTTATCGCTTTCAAATGGTTTATATATGACAAATTTTTCTAGCGGTCGCACTTGCGCAAAAAGGAAGAAACAAAGCGAAAGAAGACCATGGGCATACCAGATTGTGTGTAGACGAGAGGGACACGTGCGCGTCTGCCTTCGAATGCAGCCCCCCAGTTTAGGAGAACGCACTGAGGTATTCTGGATCCAGTGTCCAAAGTGCGAAAACTAGTTGCATACCGACTGTGTAGGCGGCACGTGTCCGATGGGACTTTGTTAGACGGTGATTGAAAAGTACTATTAAAAAGTTTAGTATTAATTGTTTATAGCATAATTTATAGATATAATGTATAGATTATAGATAATAAGATTCTATATTATTCTAGAGTTTGTCTATATGTATGATGTATGTATGATTCTAAATGTATGAGATAGTTCAATATATTTGTTTAAACATAGTCTGCATAAACAATAACATTCATGCTCATGACCAGTTTGTTGTAAATTGTGAATATATAAATTTCGTACACAATGGTACTTATAAATACTTGTATTTCATGAGATGAAGCTGCATGCAGAGAAGGTAACCTTGCCTTCTCCCCCAACGTCAATTGTTTCACATGTACATGTAAAATGTGAAACATACGGTGTTAAGGGAAGAATAGCAATACACCAAATACGGATAACATAAAGGGATAAGCAGATTCAAAGGAAAAATACACGTACCTCCATATGAATACAGCGTTAAAATTTGAAACTAGGACCGGAAAATTGGGAAATGTTATTTATTTTGTCATAATCTGTGGTAATCTCAGTGATAATAGTGAGTTCTCAGTGACTACGGGGTTGAGATTTGAAGTTAGAACAAAAAATTAGGAAAATACTACTTATTTTTCGCAAGTGATGTACTTAGTGTGAGCGCACACAATGTTTTTCCTTCACGCTTAAAACCGATCTGTTCGGTCGTACTGTTGCCTAACATTCTAATAGATATATAATAATACAATTGTCATAATTAGTCCGTAATTCACTCAATACCTAACATTTATCCCTTTGATCCTTATCAATTCCTCACCTTCTACTGTAATGCATTGTAAGAATCCAATTCCCATGTTTATCTAAGATCGTATAACATGGTTTTCCCCATGTAACAACCTTGGTAATCCTGCGCGTAGCTTAAGAAGGGCCAGCTGGCTTCTCAAGTTTGTAATCCATTTTCAAAGTAGACGATAAGAGCGTTTGTCCGCAAAAGGTTTATTCTCGCACCTTTGAATGTTCCCGCGCAAAGCATACCAGAAACACATTTATGGCGTGTTTATCTCCTCTTCAGTCTAAATTGAATAATTTTCCATGTTTTCTGTCACGTTTATTTCCATTAACTTTTTAAATTCTTAAACATGCTTTATACATTTTGGAATCTGTTTTTTTCTGAAAAATGAAATACAAGTGACAAGAGAGGCATTTCCGGCGCTTAATGTGCTTCAGATTTTGCAAACAGGCTATATTTGCCTTTACGAGATGGTGCTATATCTTACAGTGTCGCTCAAGATTGATTCATTTTCTTCGGCACATTATGTGCCCTTCGATAACAAAGCGTTTTTTTAACAATTAGTTGAGCGGCTCGATTTAAGGAAGCCTCAAGACTTTGGTGTACTGGCTCGACAATTTTCGAAAAATTGCAAAAAAGTTGTAAGCAAAGAATTACACCGTATTTTGAAATTTGCTGTCTAGTTGAATAAATTTGTTTTATAAAAAAACTGCTGGAAAAGCTCAAAAAGCTACACGAAGTCGGTTGAATTTTGGGTAGATGAAAGATTGTAGAGCAAGGAAAAAGGTCTAAACTATATGTACAGCATGAGCATTAGAAATTATTGCGGGAAAGTAACCACCCAGTAATGGTCATTCATCCTTTAATTTGTTCAATTGTTCATGTCTAAAATCTACCAGAACATTAGAGCTTTTTAGTTTGCCAGGTTGAAAAGATGGATAAAACGGAGGATGTAGCAGCCTTCGAATACAAGAGGCTTCCATTCGGCGTTGAATATGCGAAGTCATCTCGCTCGTTCTGTAAGGGATGCAAGAGCACAATCGGCCAGGTTTGTATGCAGTGCATCGACTTGCTGGTGTAGTTACTCTTTTCGATTCTTTATAAGCTGTGTTGAATTCAGGATAGCATACGTATGTCGGTGCGGGAACCTAGTCGATTTTTCGATGGTTTGCAGGACAATTGGTAAGTATACGAACCCTGCATAAAACAGCTTTGATTGGCCAAATCCTGCCAACCTGATCCTGATCTTTATCTTTTATGAAGGTTTCATCTTGCATGCTTTTGGAAAAGGCTCAAGCCAGGGAAGACAGAAATTAACGAGAGGTCAATTAGAGGCATGGATATGCTCAAGTGGGATGATCAGGTTTGGTTCACAACTGCATCAGCTTTTTGCGGG